CCTTGTTACCCCCAACATTTGAGTTGTCCTCCAAAAATATGTCTTAAAATGATTTTTGAAACAGGAGCTTGTTTTGACCCTTTTATTTTGACACATCCCTGTCTTCCCATGCTGAAAAGCCAACACGGTCCAAACAACGGGCCAACCTTTTCCAGTGTTCTCCCAGCATTTCAGTGGGAAAAGAATCCTTGTATATTCAGCACACATATTGTCAATAAACAAACAGAAATTCTTGTAATAGCTGCAATACAATCACACTTTAGGAATATACAGGATTTTTCATATGATTACTTAGACATTATTACATAGACATTATTGTAATTGTTTGTCATCAATGATTTTGACATAAACCCCGGTTCAAATCATGTTTATTTCCTTAAATTTAAGTGTGGTTACATAAATGACACAAGTATGATACCGGGTGTGTGGTGAATCGACCCAGGCATCCTGTGGTGTGTTCGCTTGTGCGTCCAGAGCCCTGTGCTCTCGGTGCATGTTGTTGTAATGTGATTGTGAACACTGGAGCATCTATCTTTAAATAACCTCCACTCCTGTCGCTGGCGAACAATTGCTCAACACTTTTAATTTTCTGTTAGATTATTGTCGTCATATTGAGATGAAAAAGGTTCGTAGTATCATGCTGTCCCACGAGATAAAATGGAAGGTGATATTTCATTTATAACCCCGTCCTTCTTGACGCGCACAGCATTTTCAGACGATGGTTACATGAGCGGGCCTACTTGTGCGATGATTAGAGAGCATCTTGTAGTTACCAGTTAAACAACACAACGGCCACACGTCTCACATCCGCATCTTTTGTTTGCTGCTTTTATGTGATGAGAAGCGTGCGCTGAATAATGTTCCAGGTGTGGTTTGAATATTCAGTTATACTTTTTTCATGTTTTGCACCAGTGAAGATTGATGGTTTTTTGTTAATGCATATGTGTAGGTCATAGCATATTAGAATCTGACCTTCAGCTGCTCACATACATTGAACCCGCCAGTGATTGCAGTATATACATTAATTTTTTACTTTAAGTCTACACAATTTTCTCTTTTCTTCACACACAGCATACATTGTTATAAAACTCCTGATTTGGTCTGATATGTATATTATTCAATATGCTTGTATGTGTGTATAATGCCAAACTGCAGAATGGGGGAACAGCAGGTTGTGGGAGGGGCTAGATCTGGTTGAGGAGTCTGCCCTTTTAGGTCAGTGCGTGGTCATGTGACAGGCCGACCGAGCCCCCTGAGTCCTATGACAAACAACGCTGCCTGACCGAGGTGTGTGTCAGGGGTGTTTTTCCACAAACTATTCTATAAAAGTGTAACTGGGCTGTATTTGCCCTTTCCTCCTGCTATGCGTTCAGCCAACAGGCCCCCAAAGATCTTTTAAAAAATGCTGATCCAGAGAGGGCTGGACTAGGGCCTGTATAATCCTTCTAGCTGCTCTCTACAGTCTGCGCTTATCCACTGCTCCCCTGCCTCCTGACATTCCTACAGTCTCATCTCAATGCATGTGATGTGAGTGACAAAGCGATGGGATGCAAAAGAGGCTTGTTTGGGCCTCAAGCTAATTACTGCACATTAGAGCATGACTAAATAAATCTTAAGTGGCGCTAATTGCCTGGCACTGTAAACAATAACTGTGCCCAGAGGCACTTAGGATAGCAAGGGGTTGGGACACCAGGGACTGGGAGCTTTGGCATGGTTCCAACAGTGGGATCATAGCTCCATCCGTCAGCATGCTGTGTCTTCATGTTCGAGTCACACCCCACTTGGCACTGCTGCAGGATTCGCCATATGCCCCTCACCCATTACACCAGCCACTTTTGTACCCCCGCAGCTTGTACACAGCAGAATAAGCTATACATGACAAGCACAATCATACTGCAGCCTGCTGTGGAGATGTCATATATCACTGTGTTATTAAACGTGAATTAGTTATAGTACAATTAGACTGACTGGTGACATTTGATTTTGCAATACACATTCAAAAAACATTCATTACATTATAAATAGACATTGTACCATGATATTTTTGTATGCAAAGGGTAAATAAGAAAAATCTTACAAAGATAAACCCTTTCTGGGTTGCAAGCTAGTTTGTGTGACCCAAATATCAGCTCCAGCAAGCCAAACTCAAATAAAATAATTGATAATTTCAACTCAATGATCAATTAAGAACAATGTTTTTTTTCTTTTTACAACATATATATTATTATATATATTTGTATTTTCCAGCCACCCTCACTGCAAAGAGAATGCAATAGGTGGGTCCTTATGGTGTATTTAGCTTAAGAGATTTTTTACATTGACAACCTTCATTAGATCATGCGACACCTGCTCAGTGGTGAACTACACACGCAGCTCAGCTATGGCCCGTGGTGCATTGACTGTTGAGTGGAAGTATCCATGTATTTAATGTCATGTTTGTTACTTTTCTAGGCTGTGGCAGACAGGCAGCAGGGAAAGAAGGGTTTTGAAGAGCCTGCCTCCCAGTCTCTCCACGGCCCAAAGGTGTGTGTGCATACAGACAACCCAACACAACACAAAAGGTTTCTCACTGCCAATGCACTCCCCACGAGGAGAGGACATGGACCAAACAAGTCTGGAGAAAGAAAATCATTCAACTTTCTACACACATTTGCCAAACACTGTGTGACTGCATTCACAACCAGTCCTCTTTCAGATTGGGAAAGTGTTAATGCTCGTTTGCCTTAACAGAGAATAAGAGTGCACAATCATTCAACCTTTAAAATCTATGCTGTGCAATTGTGAACAAAATCCTTATGCCTTCGGTACAGTATACCATGTTCCCAAATCAAATATTTAATCTGTTTTTTAAAATGATGACAACTTTTCACACTTCTCAATTCAGCACAATTAACATAAAGTTATAATTACCACTTAAATATACTTCAAAAGAGTAGATATAATCTACAGAACATAGACAAAATGCAAAGTAATGCTTGAAACTGATTACTTTCCAATAATTCCAAGACATACATGTGTAGGCCCCAGTCATTTGCATGTTCGCCATCTGCTTCTGTCTCTGTTGGCTCATTTGTACTGTCACTCTCCTGCAGTGTTTTACTACTTTCCCAGGGGACATGTGCGCTTTTGTGAGCTTTTCTGTGAACACACACAGGCTAATTGGTTGATTAGTTCAGGTTGGCTGCTCTGTTAATTGAATTGTGATTTACATTTGATGTCTCTAATGAAGATCCTAATTTACTGTTTGGCATCCATCCAAGGCTTATTTTTGCCAGCAAAGAGAGCACTGGCTGAAAAGGCATTAAATGTATATGAAATACATTGAGTAATATTACAGCCAGAGCTACCATTATGAAGCCCACAGAAGCTAACACTTACAAAAGTTATCCAAAGTTTATCAGTTTTATCAGTATTAAGACTATTTTGAACACTATGTTGTAGAACAATCAGAGTTCAGTCGGACGGGAGGAGCTCGAAGTAATGCCGCTACTCCTCCACACTGGAGCATAAATACATAGTTTATGTCTTTCAGCTGGACTGAGAATGTCTTTGGATGAGCTGGAGTGAGTGCGGGGCGAGGGAAGTCTGGCATCTGCTGAAACATTGCCCTCCATGCCTTTATCAGGGACGTATGAATTGTGGAACATTTATTCTAGAATCTCCCTATAAGCAGTCAAAGGCCAAGACAAAAGCCACCCCCTGTACCACAGTCTAAATTTTCAGGTGCTATTCTCCACAACGTTTTTGCATGGACCATCATTTTAACAAAAACGTCTCTTTCATAAAGATTCAATTTTGTGGGGATTTTAGTCTTTAAACTCATAATTATGAACTTCTTTTCTTCTGAAACCCATCCCTTCTCTGAAAATCCACACTTTTGTGGAACAAGCTCACCCCGTTCTAATTAGCATGTGCTCGCTGGTCAAAAGGCTTGCGTGTTACTCTCGTCACATGAACTGCGAGGATCCTGAGAGGATCAGAACTAGCTAAACGCTAGTCTTCTGCTCATTTTGGAGCGGCCAACTTTAAACATGGGCTAGTAAGAACAGGCCATCTTGGAGACCGAGGCTTGGGTCAACGCCTCAATTGAAAAGTTACAAATCTGGACTAAATACAAATATACATATAACCATGGATGTCAAAGCAGAAGGTGCTTGTACTAAACAATGTCAACTGTGGAAACATTAATTGTGCATTATAAACATTAAACATTATACATAACATTCAAAACACTAATTCATTTTAAATAGACTAAACTATACTTATATTATATATATATATATATATTTTGTAGATTATGGATCTACTTTTTCTGGATTCTATTTTATCCAGACACCATTATGGATCAATCAATAATTTTACGAAAGCTGGCACAGGTACATAAATACATGTCTACATTAAGGCTGTGCCAGGACTAACTTTGATCTAAGCTGCAGACTCAAATGCATAATCCAAACTCTGTGTGCACAGGTTGAGAATCACTGCACTATCGGCCATTAAACAGCTTCTTTTAAACCATTGTCCAAATCACTGAGACAGTGTCGGTCAGTGAATGTTCTGCATGGGAGACACAAATACAAAAGTAAAATCAGGCATTGTTTTATTTGGCCCAGCAACCTGAGGCTGAACATAGACTTGTTATGTGTTAATGTACAATCTCTGTAATACTCTCTATTTTCTGTAATACTGCATAAGACTTGGACATAATTTAGAATTCTGTGTTCGTGAGGCCTTGTTCGAAGTCAAGTACAACATTTCAAAGTTTCCCTGGAAACAGTCATTTCATAATGTTACATCCAAATTGGTGTCCATCTTGGGAGTACAAAAATCAATTAAAACTTGAATTCTTTTAAACAAGGAGGGGTGAGGAACCACAACCAAGTTTTATTGTTCTAGAATGAACATATTTACATATTCCATAAAAATTGTAATCACTTTTCCAACATTCCCAAAAACTCATTTGATTGATGATAGATCCATATTGTGGTATGTCCAGCGTTTTAGGCATATTCCTGTTGCGTGTTCTTCTCATAAAAAAATAATAAAGAGGCCATCTTTCCTCCAGATGAACAGTGGCGTTCAATGGTGATCAAGAAGATCTAAACAAAGCACAAATTTAGGTTAGATATAGATATGAGTGACGTTCTTTTCAACGCATTCATTTAATTCGAGTCTTAGTCCTGAGCAGCTCAATGCAATCAATATACATGCAACAATCCATGTGAGGCCACTTAGCATACTTGGCCTATAAGCTCAGGCATATACAATCCAAGCTTCAGTATTTGACGTAATTTTTGCTGGGTACATATTCAGACCGCTCCGCCATTTGTCTTTTAGCACTCGTTTAAGTCGCTATCATTAACCGCCCTGCACCCGCCCGCCCTTAATGAGAAAGCAATTACCACAGGCTGATTCCTAGTCCCTGTGGCCTGGCAGCGTGTCCGAAGCCTTCCATCCTTTAGCATTGGTCTGAGCTTGGATTCCTTCTCCTCCTTGTACCTCTTCTGCCTTTCACTGGCGGCAGACTCTCTCTCTTTCTCCATCCTTTGCAGCTTCTCTTGTTCGCTCCTCCCATTGCTAAGCTTCAGGCAGCTCAGGGTTTTAGACGAATCACTCTCACAATGGCTGATCAATACAGCTATTGATCCCCTGCAAAATGTTTATAAAAACATTCTGGGCAGCTGCAGTGCAACGGAGAGGGAGGTTGGGTGACGAAAGGATCAGAATGCGGCACCATTTGCCTATACGAGCGAGACGATTGGACCATTTGCCCGCCTTGCCAGGAAGAAGGCTGGCACTCAGTGCCTTCTTGCTCGGCATGCTGCAAACACTCCTTGCTCTCTCTTGTCTGCGCCACAAACTTTGTAGACTACTAAAGCCCAGATGACGGTTTCACCTCTTTGCTGGCTGCTATCAAAGGCTTGTTAGCTGATAAATGTATTTACATATATTACTAACAGGAGGAGACAATCCTAATCTAATGATCTCAAGTAAATTGTTCTAGCCCCCTAATCTCCACTTTGTATCCTACGTTTCTGCAGTGCACTTTTGACTCTGCGCCAGATGAGAAATCTTCTTAACAATGAATGGCTGATCTATTTGATAACATTACTTTTTTGCAAGGAGACTGTAACCTATTGTGTTAGGTGACCATGGATTTATATTTGGGCTTGTTGGAATGCTACATTCTGTACCATTTTTCACCTGTTGCTGAACTGAGATAGTTGTCTCAGTAATGATACTGCTTTTCTTAGAGACTCAAATAAACTTTATGCTGCTTTATTCATTCACTTTGCATTTAGAGGTGGTAAAGTACTTCTGCGGTCACAGCTGCCTTGGGGCATCCAGACTGAAGCAAGGTATTCAGGTACAGTATGCCATCAGCCCTTTGGACCCCCACCAATCATTCACTCACTCATACGCACACACACACATACACACATACGCACACACCCTAAAGTCACAACCACTGTTTAGCACTTTTGTCCTCATCCTACCAACAGTGGCACTTGGTCTCCCATCACAGCACTAACCAATGTCCGCTATGCTTAGGTTATGACATCTTATATGTAGGTATGGCCATGCATTTTTTTTTTACTTTTGGTCAGGACTTTCCCTCCAGCACACAATCAACCAGGTGATATGTGGAGGTTTTTAGCAGACAGAAGCTGAGGAGCAGTCATTTGTGCTCACACTTTAGAAGTGGCTGCAGCCCGTTCATTACGAGAGCATGTACTGAAGTGAGATTCTCGTCATGCTGTCTGTGCTCTCCCAGAGATGTGTGCCTCTCCATCCTCTTTTCCAGATGTCTTCTGGCCTGCCTCTTCTCCGTCATAAAACATTCAAAGTTTGTCTTTTTGCACTATTATTTTGTATCTTTTAAACTATGTTTTTTTTTTACTGAAAATATTTTTCTAATGTTTATTAATCTATTGCATTTGTAACAACAGGCACCTTTTGGATGACACTTTGATATAAGCTTATCTCTGGAATCTATCTTGGGAAGATATTTTCTTCTCACCCTTGCCATTGTGTCAATCTTTCTATGTACATGGATCTTCTAATTGAAATTTGGTAAAACAAGAATTTAAGATTATTTAACTTCTAAAGGGTTTACAAATATATTTATATAGGGCTCTAACTGTATCCCATCTGAGCTCATGTTTTAATAATGTATAAAGCAAAGAATGACAAGAATGATCCTGGAAGTCGAAACGAAAAGAATATCTATACTTCTCTATAATTGCACTACAACTTCATTTTATTTTTACTCCGCAGTGTATCTTATGTGAGTGCTGCATGCATATATTCCCTCCAAGATAGCAAATGGAAGCTCTTTGACTGCATCATAAATGGGGAAGATTGAAAGCTGTATCTATGCCCTTCCTCTGTTGTAGCACAGTGTGTTCGAGAGCCAGTTAACGTTGCAACAGCTGGATTGGCCTCCTTTTCCTAGCTCTGCTTTTTATTGATTTCAGGCAGACATAGAGACAGACAGAAAGAAAAGGCCTTTTCAGGAAGAAGTTAAATGGTCAAGTAGCGGGTGGAGGGTGGCTTTCACCACTTTATTGACGAGGTGGAAAAATGTCACTATTATAGAGGCCCTTGCAGCAGATAGCGAGCTGATTGGATGAGTGCCCCCAGGTCAGAGTGGAGCATGTTCCTTCTGCAGCCAAACGAGAGCAAATAAAAGGGCAGAGGAATCCGCTTGAACCAGAGGTGAGCGCACTCCACAGGCCGGCTCTGGGCCATACTTCTGAGCTTGCCTGAGTCAGAGAGGGCCAGATTTGGACTCAGGGCACTCCATCATTATACAAAACTTTGATTATAAAGTGTAGATCTGAGTGATTAAACTGCCTCAGAGGGATGTTCTAAAAGATGAGAAATAATGTCACTGTGTTAGGTCTTAGATCTCCTGTTAACTTATTATCTCAGAAAAGATGTGCACAAAACAATCTCTTTCCAAACTGCACACGCAATGTGCACTGTGATTGTGTGATTGGCACGAATGAAAACACAAATATACTTCATATGCCAACAGCATCTTTGATTAAGGTTGTGATATTACGATATATATAGAAACAGATTAACAGTCAAGTCTATAAAAAGTATTCAGACATGGATACAATATTTGGCTCTATAGTTCACCACATGCATTTGAAATAAAATGCAAAAGACGTGCTTGGACTGAAGTCTCAGTGGTGTTTGTGACATTTCTGCTACTCCTGCAATGGTGCTCAGTTCCTGCTTGTTCATGGGCTATTTTCCCTTTACTTGTGTCCTCAGGAGGCATTCTCAATCAGATTCAGATTATGTGAATGCATAACAACAGCACAAACACTCTTTAGCTCTGTGTTTAAAGTGTGCATATATATATATATATATATATATATATATATATATATATAAAATTGTCCACTCACCTTTGGCCCTCCGCGGGCGGTTATCCCTCTCTAAGCTCGGGTCCTCTACCAGAGGCCTGGGAGCTTGAGGGTTCTGCGCAGTATCTTTGCTGTTCCTGGCACTGCACATTTCTGGACCGATATGTTCGAGGTTGTTCCAGGGATCCGCTGTAACCACTCTTCTAGCTTCGGGGTCACTGCCCCGAGTGCACCGATCACCACGGGCATATATATATATATATATATATATATATATATATATATATATATATATATATATATATATATATATATATTATATATATATATAGATATATATAGATATATATATATCTATATATATAAGCAATTGGGAAGATAATACTGTCAGAAACTGCCATATTGCTGTTGATGGTTTTGAGCCCTACCAAACTCATAAAAACTGTCTATAATTCCTACACCACACCCAAATTGAGTTTCAAAAAAATATATACATATCTTCAAATTCAAGTCAGCCAACATCTCTGGAATTTAAATACTTTTTTTTTTTCAAGTGTCTGAAATATAAGGATTGGTTCATGTTTGACATGTTCGACAGTGGCGACAGTGGCTCAGTTGGTAGAGCATTGGCCTTTGAGCCTGAAGGTCGTGGGTTGGAGCCCACCACAAGACCTACTTCCCGACTCCCACTGATGACAGCTGTCGTTGTGTCCTTGGGCAAGACATTTAACCCCACTTTGCCTGAAACCCTTGCTGGAAGATCAAGGCTCCTGTGGACTCACCCCCTGCAGGAGGATCAGTGAGGGGCCGGTGCTATGTGTACTGGGTGGCATCTCTGACAGCCACCCCCCTGACCCAGAAATCGACAAAGGGGTAGAAAATGGATGGATGGGTTCATGTTCCAATACTGAAATGCTCTTTGGTCCATCAAAGATGCTAAACATTAGATTGTTACTTTTCTCACACAAGACCAATGAAAGCAGTGCATCCCTGTTGCCTGTGACCATCATTACCACACACACACTTGCCCTGTGGCAGTTGGTTTTATAGCTCCTATCAAAACAGTAACCAGAACTTGACTTGCTCAGACCCTCAGATTCGACATTATCAGGTTTTGATAAGCAGGTAAAGGTGGCTTCATTCTGCCAACCCAGGACTAAATGTGAACACTCAGCGAGTGGTTTGGACTTTTGTCTGCTTTTCACTATGGGCAAGACAGGAACATCACAATATTTAGAGTTGGAAAAATAACATACTTTTTACAAGTACAACTTTATAAAGGAAATAGCAGTATACGCAGCAGCCCAAACTTTGACCTGACCCACATCTAGGCAACAAGCTATAAGGCAGTGTTTTTGCTGACTAATTTGCTGCTTCGTTTGGATGTTCACACTGAACACGCCTTGGCAAGAAGTGCAGCTAGAAGGAGGGTCAATTGTCAATTGCAGAGTCGCTTTGACACGGCAGCCATGTTGTTCAGTCTGAAAGAACCAGGGGGCTTGGGAATGTTGGTGTGAAAATGCGTTAGCGGCTTAGTCTATAACTAAAGCCACATCGTTAATATGGCTCCTTCTCACTGCTCCATACAGAGCCATGGAAAGGTCACAGAGAGAGAGAAGCACTTCATCAAAGGTGAAATAGTTTTTTACCTAAATTGATTTCAGTTAAGATTATAGCAACTGCTTCTTAGTCTCTTTAAGACACACTTTTATGATGTACTTTCATTTGATTTGTTTTGGTTACATTTCATTTAATTTACCTTTTTTTATTTCAAGCTTATCAAAGCTTATTAAAACAGGAAACAATTGTTGTAATTCACAGTATGTACATATTATACATATACATTGTATGTATATGTATAATAGATAGATTAGATTGGGCTGATCCTTGTGCTCTTACGGAATGTAACCTTTTCAATAGTTCAAATCTCACACAAATTATTAAAGAGCCAACAAGAGTTAGTCCTAGCTGCAAATCTCTTCTTGATTGGATACTAGTCACACACCCCAATAGAATATTTAAATCTGGTGTTCTCTCTGATTGTTTTAGCGACCACTCTATTATATATTGCATATGGAAAATCTCAACTCCCCATCTTCCTCCTAAATATATCAAGATTCGTGATATGAAAACATTTAATTGTGATGTATTTGTAGAGGATG